GATATCTAGTGCCTTAGCTGGGAAGTGTCAATGTTTGGAGCCCAGTCATCTGTATAGGTATATCTGTAGTAGATGCTGACCGTCAGCTGAGACTTTAGCTAGGACTATTGACCAGAGTACTTCACGTGGTTTACCTGTACAGCCCAGGCTTCCTTACAGCATGATGTCTCACACAGCAGCTCAAGGCTCCAAAAGCTTGTGCTCTAGCCTATGGTAAAAGCCAAATGCCTTTGCTGGCCAACCTCAGAGGTAAGCAGTGAGTCACTAGCCCTCCCAGATTCAGAGTGTGAGACTGTATTCTACCTCTTAGTGGAAAGATGTAGAGAAGCACCTGAATGGAAGCTGCTTTTCAGTCTTGTTTGGAAAGTATAGGATGGCCCAGTTACTGTGTCTTCAATGCCAAGAAGTGCCGATAAATATTTGTACAATGAACACTAAGCACTATGATGGGTATTTTGATTAAATCTTAGAGATTCTTTTGCATTTTTTTCTCTCCTGAGTGCTGGGGGTCTCACCTAGGGATTTGTGCATGCTGGGCAGCTGTTCTATCACTGAACTACACCGCTAAGTCTTGTGCACCCTTTTTTCTTCATTATATAAACATTTATCACTCTTGGTACTAAGCACAGTGACCACATGGTATTACTGATCTCCTTGGATTTATTAAAGAAGTGTTTTCTCAGTTCTTAACTATATTTTCAGCATTATTTTAGGCTCTATATTTGGCAGACAAGTTACTTCCCCTCATCCGTTTGATTTCAGGTTGTGAAAATCTTATGGAGGAATAAAATTGGGTTAGGGAAGGGAATATGGACTGTGCACTGTACTATTCCTTGGGAGAACTATGAGTGGAACTCATCAAGGGGATAATTAATGAACTAAAACGGAAAGTGTACCAAGTATATCTTGAAGGAAATCATATATTGTGTCATTCATATTTAAGAATGCTTTCGCCAGCAGTGATGGCACACACCTCTAACCCTAGCACTTGGAAGGCTGAGACAGGAGGATCACTGGGTGTTTGAGACCAGCCTGGGCAACAAGTGAGTTCTAGGCCAGCCTGAACTGTATAGTGAGACCCTGTCTCAAAAAGACCAAAAGAAAAAAAGGAAGGCTTTCTATATTTTGTTGGTTAAAAATAAAATGTTTGGCTTTATTAAATTAGATAAGCATGTATTAGACTCAAAAAAGTATGCAGAAATTCTTTTCAAAAATGTTTGTTTTAAATTTCTTGTTAGTCATATAAAAGAAAAATACATCAGAAAGGAAGAAGGTATGAGCTAGGCGTGGTGGCGCATGCCTGTAATCCTGGCACTCAGGAGGCTGAGGCAGGAGGATCACTGTGTTCTAGACCAGTCAGGACTACAAAGTGAGCTCAAGCCCAGCCTGAACTGCATAGCGAGACCCTGTCTCAAAAAAGACAAAAAAAAGACAAAGGAAAGAAAGGAGGAAAATAGTAGAGTGATGATTACCGGAGGCCAGGGATAGTTGGCGGGGTGTGGGACAGTTTGATCAGGGGTATTAAGTTAGATAAGAGCAAGAAACTCTGGAATACTCTTACATAGTATGGGTGACTAATAGGTAATAGTTACTGTACATTTCAGAAAGCTAGAAGGAAAGAATTTTAAAAGTTTTCACTATAAAGAACTGGTAAATGTATGAAGAGATAAATGTTTAATCTGATTTAAACATTATCTAATGTATACATTTAATGTACCCATGTACAATTTCATGCTTTTTTTTAACTTGTTAAAATTTTGTAAAAAGGAATAAACAAATACTGAAAAAATAGTAATGTAAGAGATGAACCGGAGTTGCTTTGGGGAGACAAGTGCATAGAAGACAACTATAGTAGCAGCAGGACTATGAGCTTTGTATAAAAGTGCATTTGGCCAGCATTTTGGGCATGGTACCTACTTAGGTCTTCTAGTAGCATAATCCTAACTAACAAATAAAATAAAGGGTCATGAGTTTGTTACCCTATATGTCCTTGTAACATAAATGCTGTCATGGAAGGAGATGAGAGAAAACTGGCAGAACAAAAAATGCTAAATAAGGCTGGGGGTGTAGCTCAGGCTAGAGCACCTGCCTAGCATATGTAAGTGCCTAGGTTCAGTTGCCAGTACCTAAAAAAAACTAAATAGGGCACATTTTTGTTCTCAAGGAGTTAATAGTCCAGTGGGGATGGCAGGTATATAAAAATAAATAAATGAAGTAGTTGGACTAAAGTATGGGAAATGCCATAATAATCAATATAGGATGATCTCTGTTAGAACTTAGAAGGTCTGGGCATCTGGTCTTTCACAAGGCTGGAAATAGGGTGGCTATGGGGGTGTAGCGAAAGATACCCAGGTGCAGAGCCCAAGCAAGAAGGGTCTTACATGTAATTGCTAAGAACTTGAAGTTGGTCCTTAGGAGATGGAGAGCTACTGAAAACTTTGGAACAAAGAGTAATATTTAAGAAGAGCCGACTAACTTGGCAACATCAATAATGGCGAAGAGGCATCTCAAATGTAGTGTGTTCTAAAATCCAACTTGTTTTCTCTCAACACCTGTTTTTCCATCTCAGTGAATGACAGTATCACTATTTTTTTTCCTTGAGGGAGCTCCAAACTATGTCCCCAGTCCTTTTATGTTTTTATTTTGAGACAAGGTATTGCTAGGTTGACTAGCTTGATTTCAAATTTATGATCCTCTTCCCTCAGCCTCCTGAGTAGCTGGGATTACAGGGGTGCACCACTGCTCCGAGCAGAAGCTTCATTTTTTGGGTTTGCTTAACCCAGTCATTCCTGATTCCTTTTTTCTCTCATACGTCATAATCAATCCATCAGCAAATCCTGCTGATCCTCCCTTTAAAATATACCCATAATTTACCCACTTACTATTACCCGCTCTGCTACTGCCTTCGGCTGAGCTACCATCCTCTCCAGCATAGATTACTGGGTAGCCTTCTAGCTCATCTCCTTGCTCATTACCTTGCTGCTGTACAGTATATTCACACTGCAACCAGGGATCCTTCTAAAAGCGAGATCATATTACTTCTGCCCAAAATGATGGCTTCCTTTCTGAAGAGTCCTTTCAGAGTCCACAAAGCCATGAATGTGTGGCATCTGTTCTACTATTCCTCTTTATCCTGCCATCCTTTCTGTTACTTAGATCTTGTTGACATTCTTTTCTCAGGACCTTTGTGTTTCCTATTCTCTCTGCTTGGACTACTCTTTCCCAAGAGACCCACTTTGGTGGTTCCCTCACTTCCTACAGTGAGTACTCATGAAGCCTTCTGTAATCATCTTAGTAAAGTTACAAAGCTTTGCACTCATTCTCTGTCTTGTTTTATTTGGTTTTCCCTATAGACTTAACTACCACCTGATATTATATATTCATTTTTTAAATTGTCTTTTTCCTACAGTGTAATCTAAAGTTTGACTGCTTTGTTGACTGTTCTGTCCATAAGACATAGAACATAAATTAGTTTAAAATTGGCAGCATCATAGATAATGAAGGTGGGGGGAAGAGTGCCGTTGACACATGGAATTAAAACCATCTACTCAAGAGATTTGGAGGGCATGGAGTCAAGAATAACTTGGGAAGGAGAGCTGATGAGACTTGGCAGTCTACTGGATAGGGAGAAAGGGAGAGTAGTGACTCTCAGATTTTTGTCTTGAGCAAATGATATTGTCAGGGATAGAGTAAGCTTTTGGGATAAATAAAATAGACCAGGGGAGGTGAACCTGTGGCTCGAGTGTTACTGTGTTTTTTTTTTAAGACAAAAGATGTTAATGTAGAGTTGTTTTTTTCTAAATTAAAACCTCAATATTCAGGTTTAATTGCAGGGTTGGCACTTTGTAATAAACAAGTGGGTTTGGGTTGCAGTTTGGTGCTCAGTCTAAAAGATTTGCCATCACTAAAATAGACCAACAAAACCAGCAGGGTAGCCAACAACATCCCACATCCCGGGAAACCACTCAGGGCTAGGCAAGAAGAGGGAGAGAGTGGAGAAGTCTGTGCAGGAAATAGAGCACAAGTAGCTGGAAGGTAGCAGGAACCTCAGTGGAGCATGATTTTGTAGACGCTAAGAGAGGGCCCTTCAGAACAAGTGAACAGTGTGGGTTGAGTTTCTCTTGGAATTTTTGAGATTTTGGCTGTACTTGGGAGAAGGACATTATGTCATAGAAGCTCAACAAATGTTTCTTGAAATAAAAGAAATGATATATCTTTTTGATGATGTTAAACTATTGAGGAATTCAACTTCTGATATTTGCTGGATGCTGGAGATAAAAATGAATTTAAGGCTTTTACGAAGAGCAACATTATTTCTGCATTTAGTCGTAATGACTGTTCTGGATACATACCGGGTGGTATAAGTAAACCATTGCATTCTGCAGTGGTGAAACAGTATTAAATCTGAATAAGCATAAAATTAGAAGTTCAGAGCTGGAGATTTGTGATCATGTACATCATAGTGTTTAATGTTTTAGAATAATGAATTCTTTTAGAATCTATTGAAAACCCTGAATCATCTTCCCCACAAAAAGAAAAACAAATGTATAATTTCTGATTTTGGAAGTGGTAGAGGGTTATAGAAGGCCATATGAGTCCCAGGTTAGAAAAATCACTAATCTAGTTTTATCTCTCATGTAGAAAAGAATAACTTGCCTTGGATCACATAGCTAGGTAATGACTAAACGTATTCATGATTATTTTATCCTTTGTATATTATTGTCACTCTTTTAATGTAGGTTCTATCCCTTTTGGCCTATCATTAGATTTCAGTTACTTGCTGTGTCACTGCGCAAGTCGAACAAGTTGATTTCAATCTTGCTGTCCCATCTAATTAATGTCTAACTGTTAGAAAGCATTCTATCCGTACACTGAGTAAAAATTCTGCTGTTCGTGATGTGTACTATCAGATTTTTGTATCTAACTTTTAAATCATGAATTAAGAGTTGATGAGATTAAAAACTCTTGCTAATGAATTGCTTTTTCCTTCTTTCAAACAGGATGCTATATGATTATGTTGAAAGAAAACGGAAGGAGAATTCAGGAGCCCAACTGCATGTCACCTATTTGGTATCTGGCAGTTTCGTTCAGAATGGACATTCTGTAGGTTTCAGGATTTTGTTTGTTTGTTTGTTTTTGGTTTTTTGAGACACAGTCTCACTATGTAGTTCAGGCTGGCATTGAACTCACTACGTAGCCCAGGCTGGCTTTGCACTTGGGGCAGTCTTCCTGCCTTAGCCTCTCAAATGCTGGTGTTACAGATGTGTACCACCATGCCCAGCTCATGTTTTCAGACTCTTCTAATGAGCTTAGATGTGTTTGAACTGTGAACAGTGCTATAACCTAATGGGAAGAAAAATAAGGTTCAATATTGTAGAAGTTTTAAAATACTAGAAGAAGATGAATATTTTTTAATTTTAGACTAAATTGAAAGCTCAGAAAAGCTTGGGTAATATTTTTGCTGTGATTCAGAGACGGTATCATTATAGTACAGTTTTCTGGGTAACAGGATACTAGGAAATTACATTATTTCCTATAATCTTTCTTATACTCTGTATACTGGGGACAATTGTAGTTAATTTTTATCCTGTTCAAATTTTAAGCCACAATTTAGGTGTTCAGTAAGAAAAGAAAACACTAGTTATAGTTAAATCTTTACTTGAAAATGATATTCCTTTAAATTACAAGTTAAGTATCCCTTATCTGAAATGCTTGGGACAGACATGTTTGAGATTTTTAGATTTTGGTGGGGTTGGGAATATATATATATATATAAAAAAAGGTAGTTTAGGATTGGGAACCAAGTTTAAATACAAAAGTCATTTAAGTTTCAAATATGTCTTACATGCCAGAAGGTAATCTTATACAGTATTTTTAATAATTTTGTGCATGAAATCAAGTTTAATGGTATAGAATTTGTTGCTTTTCTTCTTTTTTTTTTTTTTGTATTGAAGATTTAATCCAGTACCTCTGCAGTGAGCTACATCCAGGCCTTTGTAAATTCTTGTTTTATTTTGAGGCAAGGTCTCAAGAAGTTGCCCAGGCCATACTCAAACTGATGTCCTCTTGTCTTAGCCTCCCAGAGTACTGGGATTACAGGCATGTGCCATCACAGCAGGCTCAGAATTTACTACTTTTGACATATTCATGCTTAAAAAGTTTCAGAATTTAGTGCATTTTGGGTTGTAGTAGGGATACTCAATCAGCAGTAATTTTTTTGGTCATTGATCCCTTTGAGAATCAGATAGGTTTGAAGAAGCTGAAATGCATATGTTGATATAAATTTTTGAGAGTTTGCAGATCTTCTGAACTAGGATCCAGAGTTAGGAATTTAGCTATTAAGGTAACTAAAAGAGGAGGTTAATTAAATCTAGAAACAGAAAGCATGACATGTAGCTACAAACTTTGATAGTATCCATTTAAGAACCATACATGGGAGAGAATTCTGGTGGCAAGTTTATCTCTGACAGTAAATGAATCAGGTCGCTTAATTTCCTGTCTCACATAATAATGAGATCTACTTCTATACTTGAAAATACCTTGATTATTGTTGGTTTGCCAAATAGTTTGCCAATAAGGAAAGAAAATGCTGGCTAGAGAATATGAGGAACTGATCGCTCCAGCAGTTTTATTTCTCCTTTTAAATTACTAAATTAACATTCCAGTTTTAAATCCTACATGCTGGAAATCTATTACTAAAAAACAAATCCAGTCAATATGTGGACAAATCAAGGTTCTAAACCTATGATTTTGAGGCAAATTCAAAAGGGAAAGGGAAACCATTAGCACATCTCTGAGAAAGGGCCCTGGTCCTTGGGGCAGGTCCTGTGGGGCTAGTAGTGGTCGAGGCAAAAGAATTTTCAGATAGGTTTGAAGAAGCTGAAAACAGAGAAGACGTGGCTTACTTTTAGGAGAGAGCCAGGAGGAGGAAATTATTAAAGTTGTAGATTTTTACTGTGCCTTATGACAGGAGCTTTTAATCCGGGAAATTTAGGCAGTTTTTATGGTTGCTAGGGCTCAGGAGATTCAGGTGAAATCCTGAAAGTACATTCAAGTTGTCTTTGAATTAGAGCTCCGCTCTGGTTTGCATTGTTTTAATACTAGCAGGCTGGCATTTCCACCGTGTTGCTTACATGCATTTTCAGTGTCTCAAGGAAGCAGCCGCACTGAACTGCCTACTTCTACAGGTTTTCTTTAGTTACAAGTTACTGTTTCTAGGGTGCTCACTACAAATCTGCATAGCTTTTGAGTGGTTAGTTCCTAACACTCTTTTTTCTATCAGCTGTAATTTTTAGTGTGCATTTTGCAGAACATAACATTTTTTAGGATTGCCTGTTTTATTCTTTTTAAAAGAAAAACATATGATACCTTAGTAAAAGAAAAACATATGATACCTTAGTAATATTCTCATTCAAATCAGATTACATTTGAAAAAAACATCTTCAGGCTGGAGGCGTAGCTCAGTGGTAGAGTACTTGCCTACCATACTCAAGGCCCTGGGTTCAATCCTCAGCACTCCAAAAGAAAGAAAAAATTGCTTTATTTTTATATTGCTCTGTTTATGTTATGATTTTAGTGGTTTTTAACATTAACATAAATATGTATTTGCTTTAACCAAATATATGAGGTTTAGAAAAACAGAACACTATTATTACTAGCAATATGATTACTGAAAAGTTTAAAGATTTCTTTACAGTTCTTTGGCTGTAGGATATGTCCTGCTAAAATATAGTATAGCTTGTGTTTTGTAATCACTCAAAACAATTCCTCATTGTAATTAATCAATCCACCAATTCAGTAACTATCTAAACTCAATTTTTTTTCCAGTTTGCTTTCAATGTATAAGTTATTTTCTTACCTTTATAGGTAGTTCCCAATAATGTTTTATTGGTTTTGGCTTTCCTTTCCATTGTTTTTGTTGTTCTTTTATGTTTTTGATATAAGCAACTATATATTCATATTGCTTCACTTTCTTAGATAAGTTTTCATACTGTGCAACTTATTTTGTACTTTGCTTTTTATTTTTATTTTTTATTTTTATCTTTTGCTTATCTATAGATCTTGAGTATTATTTCATAGCAGTTACCAAACTATTTGTCTTGTCCTTACTGTAGCCAATAAGGCTCCACTAAAACTACACTTTAGTTGAATTAGCAGTCCCTTTTTATGTTATCTGAATTGTTTATAATCTTTGGCTATTACAGATAGTAGTGCAGTCAATAGCACAGCATATATATGGGTTTTATATATATCTTTGCTAGTGTGTTTTAGAGTATTTTAAGGTTACATTCCTAAAAGTAGAATTGCTAGGTCAAAGGGTAAGTGTTTATGTACTTCTGTTGGTGTGGCCGAGTACCTCTCCTTTTTTTTTTTCTGTCTTTTTGAGACAGGGTCTCACTATGCAGCTCAGGCTGACCTTGAGCTCACTTTGTAGCCCAGGCTGGTCTTGAACTTGCAGTGATCCTCCTGCCTCAGCCTCCTGAGTGCTGGGATTATAGGAGTGTGCCATCGTGCCTGGCCTACCTCTCCTTTTTTTTATTCTCACTTGACCATATGTGAATTTCCACACAGCACATGTTCTCATATATTTCAGGCTCTTTGCATTCCTTTCGCTTGTACTGTGTCTGTTTATATCTCTTGACCGTTTTTCATTTCTTTTTTTTTGAGACAGAGTCTCACTGTAGTTTAGGCTGGCCTTGAGTTACTAAGTAGCCCAGACTGGCCTCAAACTCATAGTGATCCTCCTGCCTCAGCCTTCCAAGTGCACCACCACACCCAGATCTTGACCATTTTTCTAAAGGTATTAAAGAGTGTTTTTTTAATTAATATGTTTTCTTTATTTTTAGAAACATTATTAACCTTTTGTGAAATAAGTTGCAAATTTTTTCTCACTTCATCATTTCCCTTGTACTTAAAAGTTTTTGTTTTTGTCCAAAAGTTATGTTAACTTTTATAGATTATTTCAGCTACTTCTGGAGTTTGCAGTCAAGTTAGGAAGCTTTTTTTCATTCTGAGATTATACAAGATTATAGAAGATTTCACCTGGTTTTTTTTTTCCCCTTATTGCAAATACATCTTTATTGTTTTACATTTAAATCTGCGGCCCATTTAGAATTTATTCTGGTATATGAAATGGAGGATAGATGCAGTTTTTATCTGCTTCTGTATGGTTATACAGTTATTCTCATTAAATCACTTATTTAAAATTCTTCTCACTGATTTGAGATGCTTTATTTTATTGTACTGTTGGTATCTGTATTAGTTGCCTTTCTTTTGCTGGGACAAAGTACTGACACCCACAGTTTAAAGAAGTAGATGTTTGTTTTGGCTCACAGTTTCAGAGGGTTTAGTCCACAGTAAGCTGGTTCCAAGGCACAAGCACTGTGGTAGAAGGGCATGGTGGAGCAGAGCTGCTAAAGTCATTGCACTCAAGAGCCAGAGAGGAAGGGGCCGGGGGTCAGATATAGTCCCCAAGGTCACACCCCTGTGACCTACCCAGACACCCAGAAGTGTCCCTCCCTCCTGCATGTCTCTCAAACCAATTAAGTTGACAGTCAGGATTAATTGTCACACTATGTATACTTTTGTTTTCCTTAACCTTATGGAGACATTTTAAAGTAAACAAAACTGAATCTGACTTTATTAAAGTAGAACATATATTTTAGGAGTGCCTAATAGTGTCCTAATCTCACATCCACGCAGAATTGAATTATTGGCAAGGAAACTTTAAAATTTCACGTTCTACTATTTTAAATGCTCATGAAGTGCTATTTCTTTACAGTGCCACAAGGTTGCAGTAGTGAGAGAAGATAAATTAGAAGGTAAGCATTTTAGTGGTTTAGCAAGTTTTTGCTTTCTCCTCTTGTGACATCAATGTAGGTACAATAAAAAGTCTGCCCATAACATCTGCATATAATATTTTAGCTATTTAGCTGAAGAACGTTATATTCTTTTTATTAGTGGTTTCAGCAACATTAAAATATGACACTATATCTGCCTAAGTTTTAAGGCAATAGCTGCTGACATTTATAAAGCACTTTTATCACAAGATTTTAAAACTCGTGACAGACATACAAAAAACTATCCTGAATACCATATGGGGCATCCCATAAGATGTAAAAACAGTACCCTTTCAATACTATGTTGTGTTTTATAACAGTGTTTTAAAAAAGAAAACTACAGAATGTTTTTCTAAAAGAAAGACTTACAAATTAAGTCCAACTATTTCAAGACTGTTAATGCCACTATTCTATTGTTTAAAAACCCAGTTCAGAAATTTTTTGTAACAGGATCTTCATAATCTTAGACTTGTCTCAAGATAAACTTTACTACTATACTTTATATATAAAAGCTCCATCCCGTGGGGTGAAGGGGTTCTTACGAAATTAGTTTTGAAATGTTCAAGGTAATAAAGATATCTACTTTTTTTCTTTCTGAATTTTGTAGGCAAGGCACGATTTTTGCATCCTATAATCTATTATATGCCAGGCTATGTACTGTGCACTGGGAACATGAAACAAGTTAGGCACATTCTTTCTTGTAGAATCTAGAATTTGTCCTGATGATGTTCTTTTGTTTTTCCTCTGGAGACTTGCCTAGTTAGTAGTAATTTTTATATAGTTGCTTTCTGCAAACTGAAATTGGGATTCAGTTTGGGTCCTCTCAGGTGTACATTACTTAGTGCTCTTTATGTGTTAGTGCAAGGTCCTTCCCTGACTGGGCAGCTGGGGGCAGTCATCGTAGTCATCATCAATCATTCATCAATATTTGCTGAGTGTCCACTGGATGAGTGATACCCTCACAGGTGCTGTACTTAGAAATGACTCACCATCACCTACCTTGTCATAATGTCCCCACTGCAAACAGAAGAGTTGATGTTATACTATATATGTGGCTATTTGAGCCTTTAGAGTTTTCTGGATCACCACAAATTGCAAATGATTTTAATGTAGAAGGGTTTCTTGTTAAAGTCCCCACATACTATGAAATTTGTGTGTTAACAGACTGCTTTTCCTGTTGACTTGTAGCAGTGAAGTCCAAGCTAGCTGTGACTGCCAGCATCCATGTGTACAGCATCCAGAAAGCTATGCTAAAGGACAGTGGGCCTCTGTTCAATACCGACTATGACATCCTTAAAAGCAACTTGCAGAACTGCAGCAAGTAAGCTCCTTAATGTTCCTTGTGGGCTTCTTTACGAATTGATTTTGTAAGATGTTTACACAGTGGCTGCCTCTTAAGAGTGAGTGCCAAGTCTAGTAAAACCCCATTTATCTTGCAGTAAGACACATGCCTCGTTTTATTAGTACATCATAAGGTGAAAAATAGCAGCCACAACCCATATTGAAAATCCCAGTGGACTCCTCATAAATCTATTTCTCATATATTTATTTTGTCAACACTACCAGAAATATTTGTTGTGCTCCTCGTTACTCCTTTACTCCAGTCTTTGCTTGTCTAAGTCCTACCCATCCTTCAAGAGCTAGTTTAGATGTTCTCCTTCAAAGAACTCTTCTTAATTGGATATGCCTCTACCTTTCATCTGCAGGCAGCTTTTTCTCGAAGTTCCATAGCCAGAATCAGATGATGTAAATCTTTGTATCTTTCACAGCGCTGGGAGGTGATGGGCTATTAATGTTTGTTCATTTTGGAAATTGATGATCATAGGCTTGATTTTTGCTTTGCTAATTAATAGCTCTTTGGCATTGGGAAACACAGACTTTGGTTTCTTTGTCTTTAAATTAGATACAATGCCTACTTTGCGAGGGCTCAGGTTGGTTCTTCAAACGTATTATGAGTACCTACTACTTTAATACATACTAAATGAGATAACTTGAATTCATTTAGTAGATATCTGATGAATCTGTCTGATAGGTGATACACTGCAGAGTGAATATGGTCCAGTGCCTGCTTCTGGGATTGATGGTTTGATGGGAGACAAGCAGTTCCAGTACAGTATGTCAGTGTTGTCATAGGAGGAATAGTGTAGGCAGATGGGGGTGGCATTCTCTGTCACTTCTAGATGGGTAGAGTGAGGGGGCAAGACAGAGGAGGCAGAGGTGTCTAAGTTGAGGCCTAAAGGCCCAGAAGAAATAGCCAGGCAAAGAAGTGGGAGAGTAAGGAGGCAAACAACTGGTCAATAGCAATATGTAGTCATGCAAAGAGAATATATAGAATGAAAGAAGGGTAAGAAGTAAAACTCTAGACCATAGTTACTAGCTATGTGACCATGGGCAAATTATGTAACCTCTCTATTGTTCAGCTTCTTTATCAGTAAAGTGAAGCTGATAATAGTGCTACTGTCAAAGGGCTAAAAGGGGATTAAATGAATTAAAATGTGTTAAACTCTTAAAATAGCATTTGGCACACAGTAGTATTTAACGATAACTATTTTTAAAAGGTTAGGCAGCAAAAGAGGGGCCCAAGAGCCAGAGATAAAAGGAAAAAAAAAAGTGAGAGAGCTAATACGGATATAACTACTGCTAGCTACTGCCCTCTTTTCCTCCCATTTTACAATCTTCTGGGAAAAGCTGTCCATATTAGCTCTCACTTTTTCCTGTCCCCACTTACTCAGCTGACTGGAATCCAGTCACTGCTGTGAACACTCTTACCAAAGCCATCACAAGACCCAGTGGACCATTCTTATTTGAGGTAGGTGCAAATTCCTATCTTACTTAGCTTCTCAGCAGCATATGATACTGTCCACCAGTCCATCCTTCTTGAAACTCTTCCCTTAGTTTCTGGAACCCATATACACATGATTTTCCTTTTATCTCTGGCTCTTGGGGCCCTCTTTTGCTGCCTACCCTTTTAGAAATAGCTATCATTAAATACTACTATATGCCAAATACTCTTGTAAGAGTTTAACATATGTTAATTCATTTAATCCCCCTTTACCCCTCTGATGGTAGCACTGTTATCAGCTCCATTTTACTGATAAAGAAGCTGAATGATAGGTTAAATAATTTGCCCATGGTCACATGGCTAGTAACTATGGTTTAAAGTTTTACTTACTACCCTTCTTTCATTCTATATATTCTCTTTGCATGACTATATATTGTTATTGACCAGTTGTTTGCCTTTTTTTCCTGATTCCAAAATTTTTACCTTTACTCTGGTTTGTTCCTTCTTTTGTATTTCCATTCTCAGTGCTCAGCAGCCCAAGCCAGGAACATGGCATTATCCTCAATACCATGAACAGCAGTCCCACACATACCTTCTACTCTACCAATTATTTTGGTTTTATGAGCCAGAGTCTTACTGTGTAATTCAGACCAGCCTTGAACTCACCAAGTAGCTCAGACTGGCTTCAAACTCAACAGTCCTGTATCAGCCTCCCAAATGCTGAGATGACAGAATAAAAGTGACTGAAAAGTTCAAAATGGAATTTGTCCAGGACCCACTAAAATAAATAGAACAAGTAGAAATGTGATAATGGGAAGCACTTTAATGGAACTTTACCTAAATGCTTAAAAGTATTGTTGGTAGAAATATGAAGAATTTATCTCCAGTAAAGAAGTTTGTGCTTGGTTCTGACAATTATTGGCCAACTGAGATCTGACTCATGATTTTGTGTGTTTTAAGAAATGCTGTAACAGGAAGAAAGTTGACATTTTAGGATTGAGCAGAGATTCTTCTGTCTTCAGACAAGCTCCCAGCCTAACTTGGTCTCGTTGTCATTGCCAGTTCCTGGTTCTGACCTGAAGGTGTGGAATGCAGACCAAAGGGGGAAAGAACTGTGTCAGGGCCAACTTTAGATGCTGACAGTGAAAATAAGACACTACCCTTTCCTTGTACATGGAAGCGCTGTGGAACCAGAGAGGAAGAGCAGTGGGCAAAAATAAATGCTCTCTGTCTGTTCTTAGCTCCGATGCAGCATTGATGTGTGTTAATGCAGGATTTTCTGTGTGGACCAGAAGGAATCCATGGACATCTTTTGGAGCTGTAGACTCTAGCTTTGGGGATGCTTAGCCTAAGGTTATTTCTGAATTGAAACGATTCATCAGAGATTTTTCCATAGGCCAGTGATTCGATCAGTTACTTTTGAAGTTGTACCTGTACTCTGATAATTGCTATCACCACATAGTTTCTAAATCTCTCCCATCTGCTACTCCAAGTTGAAGTAAAGCACCCAAAAAAGGCGAGAAACCAGAGCCTTACTTTCAGTCACTGAAATGGTCATTTCTTCAGCAGGTTTCTCCTGACAAACTTGGTGTGTGTCAGATCTTGTACTGAGTACCTGAACTAAAAAAGATGAATAAGACCTTCAAGGAATTCTCACGTACCTCCAATAAGCAAAAGACTGGGGTTGGGGTGGGGAGTGGGTGGGGTTTAAAGGTTTCTCTTGTTAAGGAAAAGTTGAGTAACTTTGCTTTAAGTAAAATTCTTTGAGAAGGGTAAATCACTTACCCAGTCACGATGTGTGGAGCATTGTGTCACAGATTTGTATGAAACAGGCGTATCTGTGATGTAGAAAACGAGTGTTCCCTCTAACAAGCACACATGCAGACTGTTCACCAGATTCACTCGGCCTTCAATATAACGGCCTGTCCTGCACTATTAGATAGTATTGTTAGAAACCAGTAAATGGCTATAAATAACCACAAGTTATAGGAGCCAGTGGCTCCATTCCCAGCTTCTTTCATGATTTAAGGCATGACCCACTGTGGTCTGGAGAGTTGCCGGGAAACTTGTTAATATTTAAAACTTTTAGTTTTGATTCAGTCAATATTTATTATATATGTAGTCCTGTAAGGAAAGTTTGAAACAGGAGATAACTATTTGGTTCCCGAAGGATGGTAAGATTACTAAATCTTTAATTATTGTTTGGTATATTCTTACCTTTTTTTAATATTATTTTAAAGAGAATAATAAAAACAAAGTAGCAAAATACGAACATCACAGACAAAAACAAAACAAAGCAAAAACAAAAATGATACAGGGTTTCAAAGCAAAATGATAGGAATTAACAGTGGTTGTTATATTACGTATTGTTGTCTTCAGTGAAGTTGCTCAGATTAGCAGATGTAAGAATGCAAGATTAAACCATTAAAGAGAATAAAAAATAATAATTAAAAAAATTAGAGATGATACAGAGTTTCACTAGACAAGATAGTGTAGGAACTCACCAATGGTTGTTATGTTGCATATTGTTGTCTTGAAATCAGTTGCTCAGATTACCAGATATAAGCTGGTCAAAAAAAAAATTAAGCATTAACTGTTCTTTTCAGTAAACTACCAGACATCAGCAGTAGTTATCCCAGCTATCCTTGTATATACATATATA